AACAAATAACAAATATGTTTCATCTTCATCCAATACATGAAAAGAATTAGCCTAGCATGTTGTTATGTAGATTACACAAAAAAATTTGGAAAAACATCACCCGAAATTATAAACGATGAATGAAAAGTGAAAAATCAATTTCTTCTTCGTTAGTCTTCAGCCTGAACTTTGAATCTTCAATCTCTTGTATTAATTGCCTTTGAATTTTGTGCTAACCTCCTTCTTGTAGTGAAAAATAGGGTTTTAATATGTTCTTTCGTTCTAGCCATCCCCTTGTAGGTTAAATAGTATGTTGAATTTGATTTACATAAGAATTTGAATCAAACTAGGAAGTTGGACCGTTTAGGCCCATAAATGGCCTACGCGCACACTGGTATAACTATCGTGCACGTCGTAGAACCAAATGCCTCTAGGGTTTGGGAAGATAGGGTGCGCGCGTGCGCTATGAATTGCCAGCGAGCTCAGGTTCGCTTCGCTTCGTCTCTGAGCAGCTCTCAGTATTTTGACCATAAATTTCTCTATAGATATCCGATTGAGGTGATTCAAAATGCATTGAAAAGGTAATTCAAAGGATAAAATTCTTCTAGAAACACAATTTTCCGACATTAACATTTTCTATCTGAAAAATGGGTCTCAGTTGAGGCTAAAAATTTGGAGCATAACTTATTCGGCTGTAAATTGATTTGTGAAAATACTTTCATTATATTTCACTCATTTGACCTCCAATTGCATTAAATTGATCCTATATGATCTTCAATCATCGTTTTGTGCTCTGAATCAACTATTGATGTTTACACTTTGGTCCCCAAACTTTGAATTTTCTTCGTTTTCACACGTTTTTCGTTCATTTCTTCCAAATCCATGAATTTGCATTGAGTTCAACCTAACAAACATAATTAACACAAAACTAAGTTATAACTCATCCAAATCACTAACAAATATTCTAATTTAATAGTCTAGATAAGTGTACAAAATATACTTATCAAACACCCCCCAAACTTGAACATTTGTTTGTTCTCAAGCAAAATATAACCTAATATAATCAAAAATTTTAAACACACATATGGTTAGATAATTTGCCTTTTAGTCTTAAGATTGGAATGTATGTATTAAAACTATGAACTGTTACAAAATTACAATGCTAAAATTAATTTCTACTTATTCAATGCAAAATCGGCGTGTGTGTGAAAATTCATGTCAAGCATCATAAATTCATGAAGTGATTTAAATTCGAACTCTCAATAGTCAAATTTGTCATTTATCCTCTCGTAAGTTTCACACTGCCAAACTTATTCTTTTTACTCTTTTCATCTAAAGTTGAATTTATATGCTATTCCTCACCCTCTTCAGTTTGGTTAGATCTTACTAATTGCAGTTCAACACATGAACAAATGCGGATTCTCTTTATTTTCGATTTCTTTAACCTCCAAGAATCAATTAAATTATTAATCTACTGTCAAAGGTATAAATTCTCTCAAATAAGTATTGTGGGTTTAATCAAAGCATGTAATAATATTATTTTTTCTTTTTTTTTTCAATTATGTGCGGATTTCTCTCCATTAAACTTTCTAAATACCTTTGTAGCGAACTTTTGGCTGATGACTCCCAAGTCAGGTGACTATAGGGCACCAGGTTTTAGATATCCATTGCAGACTTAATCACTCGAGTCATAAAGACTACGAACAGAAGTTTCACAATAAGACAATATTTTCTCTTTTTCATGCAATGATTAGTGCAATACTCCTTATTAAACACTTATTCTCAAAAATCAACTTCTAACTTAAGATTTTTATCATATTTTCTTCTTATTGGTCTTGGACAATCCACACAAAATTTAGCACGTATGGAATCCACATATATCTCAATGTCTCCCTACAACGGCTTAATCGCCCACAAACTATCCTAGAATGGGTTTAAGGATGCATAATTTAGTGGTTATTTGGATTTAGTATTTAAGGTCCACTATTTTTTTTTACCTATTTTGAATCAAACTATTTCTTCACGATGCAAAACATAAATCTTGTACACAAAAATATCAAGTTTCACATGAATAAGTATAAATCAATCCTAACATATAACGTTTTTCACAATTTATAATCTAATACATGATTCCAAATATATGCATTATGGTAGACAAAATTATCTAACCCTCACAAGCACACAAAAGCAATATATAAGTTGAAAATATATTTTTTTTTGCACTCGGACAAGCAAACAAATCAATGAAAACTCAATGTTTTTCCACTCCAAACTTATAACAAAAATCGTCCTCAATGTGTAAAATATAACAGGCAATATATGTCTTTTCCCTTATCCAATGTGTTCAGGTGACATATTCCTTCAAAATAGTAAAAATCAATCATAACATGAAACAATTTGTAGTAAGCTCATACACATTGAGTAAAAAGTAATCCTATATCTAAAAAGTAAAATAAATAAAAAGAAAGAAAATTGGGATTGTAACATCCCAAAATTTTCTAGCAAAGATTTTAATATTTTAGAAAGTAATTAAAAAATATTATGGACTTAATTGAATTAATAGTATAAATGTTATAAGAATTTTTTTTTTTAAAAAAAAATAGAGTAATTGCACATTTACCCAATGATCAAAAATGCAATTTTATAAGGAAATAAGATATTTGCATAATTACCCCAAGGGTTAAATGCAATTTAAGAAAATGCACACTAAACCCTTCTCATCCCCTATAAATAGGGGATGATTGTGGAATTTGGGACACGTTCCCTCTTCCTTCCTTTTGAGGTAAGTTTCTAGTTTTTTTTCTTTATGTAATTTAATTAATTATTTTATTGTTTAGTTCATTATTTATTTATTTAAGTAATAATTTAGTTAATTAATTATTTGTTTTAACTACTTAATTGATTTGTGAGTAGGAATTTAAAATTCTTGTTCTAGGGTTCTTAATAATTGAAGGAAGATAAAAT